CCCTTCGCACCCAAAGCCTCGTCTGAATTGCCTCCAGCCCTCTGCCTGCCTGAATCACCTCCACAGACCACAACTCCAGTTCGCAGCCTGAAGCCCTCCACTTCGCAGCCTTCACTTCGCACGCAGCCTCCATTGGACCACTGGGATTTATGATGACAAGTAAGATTAACCACATGAATTTCTTAATAATCTCTCATGAAGCCCAGATGCTTAACTCTCCTTCGCCTTCAAATTCTTTCAGGCATTTTCTTCTCTTTCTTCCTCTTATTATTAATCGATTCGTATCATTCAATTTTTTTTCTCTATTAATGAAATATACAAACGTTTAAAATGGCATAATTTTTCAATGTATAATTGAAGCCAGCAGTGCCACTTCTACCTCGCCGTCGACAGACTCCAGTTCACGATGGTATTTTGATTTCTTCGAAGAATTATTTGTAATTTCAGTTTTGTAAATGTTATATATTATAATTTAACTATTAACATTTTCGAAATTGGGAAAAAAATAAATAAACAGGAAACCCTAGTGGATCTTTTGGGCATGGCGGGTCGCCGCCCGTGCCTCCCAATGGTAGTGTGCTGCAGCACGCGTGATGAGCTCGACGCTGTGTGTTCCGCCGTGTCTAATCTTTCGTCCTACGTTTATGTTTCCTCCTTGGTATGTAGTCTGTGTTTCCTGGACAAAATTATTATGGCATTATAGGGAAAAAACAATAATTTCTTATAAAAGTTATTTGACGTTAATTCAGACTCCAATCACTTGTTAATCTTTTCTTGTATCTGGGTTAAAACCTGCAGTCAAGTTCATTTTTTGTTGAATTACACAATTAGTTTATTCTTAGTTGAAGCCCACACAATGAAGTGAAATTTGTAAGCAAAGTTTCTGAGTATTTTGTCAAAAAGTGTCTGTAAAGTTTCCTTAACATTTTTATTAAACAATAAAAGAGATGAGGAAATGTTTTCTGTTTTGGATACAATTGAGGGGGTTATTGAAGAGTTCCAGTCTCAGAATGTGTCCAAAATGGAAAATGCTAGCATTTTAGAAGTTTTCGCCCAACCTAGCCCTCAGTTTGTCCTGTGATTTTATTACTGAATTGCAGCTTTTATGTTGCAGTATAGTGACCTATCGGAAGCAGAACGAGTGCGGATTTTGGATAATTTTCGGCAGGCAACTGGGAGATGGAACCGAATGGGAAGAGATGAGGTTAATGGGGAAACAGAAAAGGAAGAAGAGCAGAAATCACATTTGGTGGTTGTCACAAATGCGTGCCTTCCCCTTGTTGGCTCAGTGGAGTCGCCTATTAGTGCTCGCATTTTGGTCAACTATGAATTGCCCACTAAGAAGGTACATTTTCACCTTACAATGGATCTGAGGAGCCTATGTTGATGAACTAACTAGAGGAAGTAATTCAATTTGTTTGGGCTTTGTTCCTTCCACGATTTTCACCCTTGGCCTTTGTGGTAAGCTTCTGGATGAGTTGGTTCATGTCTAGTTGCCTCCTATTTACGAAAATTGTGCACCTGTCTCTCATG